TAAGGTGGGGAAGTAGCTAAAGATGAACTAGCCATTCAGGATCAACAGAGAGTGGTAAAAGGATAAAGGAGTCCTGAATGTATGATTCGTTTCCCTGGTCTAATGCTTCAATGAGAAAATTAAGTCTAAATTAAGTCCAAATAAAACAGAGCTAGTGTATCCCTTCATCTAAATCGAAATCATTCAAATTCCTCTAGGGTACTTCATTTCAAATGTGCTTAGCTACCGCCTAGTCTAGTCCTAAATCATGAATGAGCATGTCACTAGGAACAGTCTAAAGCACACAGTCAACTATCATTGATTCATATTCACCATTCCCTTTTAAAACGTATTTTGTTTTGAAAACCGATTTCGAAAAACTTTAAGAAAAATGCAAAAAGTGTAAATAATGCAAGACTCATGAAAGAAAGGTGGTTAGAAAGGGATGAAATCCTCCCCCAGACTTAAATCACACTGTCCTCAGTGTGAAACAAGTCGAGATTGGATGAGAAAAATGCATAGATAATCAAATTGGTAAGGACAAAGAGAACTTACCTGGATCCGGGATGCTGGTGGAGATGAACCGGATTCATTCGAAGGGGTTTGGGAAGGTGATTAGGTGGTGATGAAGGTGGTGGAGGGTGATGAATGAGGTGGAGGGTGATTGGTGAGGTGGAATGGGGTGAAAGGGGTGGTTTGGGTCGGGTTTGGATCTCAACGACCAAGTGCCGCGGTCAGGGGCTGCACGACTGCGGCAAACAAGCACTTGGCCGCGGTCATATTCACGCGACCGCGGTCGATGAGTAGTTTCCCGCGGCAGAACATCTGCGACTGCGGGAGCTTATTTTGCGGCCTCTTCCTGCTTCTCCTTGGTTCCTGTGGGCCGAGCAGTCAGGTACCATCCTTCTTTTTGGTTTTTTCTGGTTTTTTGATTTTTTTGGTTTTTTTTGGTTTTATAAGAAACACCTGAAACTAAGAAAAAGAAAAAGTTCAAAAGAAAAAGAAAGAAAAATTCTAAAGAAAACAATACCTAAATGGGTTGTCTCCCATTAAGCGCTTTTGTTTTATGTCGTTTAGCTCGACTTTTGGTGTTGGACGTGATTTATTCCAATGAAGAAGACCTTGTCCTGAGACAAGTCTTTTTCGACATCTCCTTGCCTTGCTTAGCAGGTTCTTCGTCACTCTAAAGCTCTTCTTCAAACTCTTCTGTTGCAGAACGTTTTCCTGCTTTGCTGTTGTATGAGACAGCTTCTGTGAAGACATCTTTGTCGATATTAGCAAATGAAATCCTCCTGTTTGGCCAGTCCATTATAGCTCCGGAAGTTGCTAGAAAAGACCATCCCAGAATCACTGGATATGTTGCATCTCTCGTTTCGACAATGTAGAAGTCGACAGGCACTATGCAATCTCCTATTCTCAAACGAATTTCATGAGCTATTCCTTGAGGTGTTGCATTTGAATCATCAGCTAGGCTAATCTTTGCTCTAGTCCTGCGCAGGTGTTTAATACCAAGTCTCAAAGCAATTGCCTTGGACATCATGTTAAGACAAGCTCCAGAATCACATAGCACGTTTTTAAAAATTTCTCCTCTAATAGAACAAGAGATAAGAAACTGACCTATACCTTCTATTTTATGAAGTGTTCGAACAGGTTCACCTTTTCTGGCATGATTGAACAAGTCTTCTATCTCAGGGATTGATTCTTTGCTCTCACAGAAGTAGTGGCCTATCATGAAGTCCTTGCAAGCTCTGGCAAACGTGATTCCTTCAGGTAAATTTCGAACCACATCATTAAATTCATCGAGCTTTTCTTTGCTGATTTTGTTGGTGTAGTGGCTGCAGTCTTCAGGTCTTTGAAGGTGGATTGAATAGATTGCAGCATCAGGTGATGTTCTGGGAAAAGTCAGACGTCTGGCCCTCCCAAAATAGGTTCAAATATCCTCCTTTGTCTCCTTGCTGTACCTAAAGAAAACTTGCAAACAACCAAGATGCCATATATCATCGAAACCTGTGTAAAGAGGGATTGATTTCACAAACTTGTTGAATTCAACAAGCCTTTCTCTGGAGATTGGTGCTCCTAATTCCGCCATTTTGTCTGGATTCCCTCCTTCTATGAACAGACGATAGTCTTCATCTTCGAGGTAGTGCCCTTCATATTCATCCTCATATGCTAAGACTATGTTGCAAGGGAGTACCTCATTTTCTTCTTGAGATGTTTTGGAGCTGATAGCATACACTGTTTGCTCCTGAAGAGGGGTTTTGACCATCCCAGCAGATGTATCAAATGAGCATTGACCTGTAGGAGTGGAAAAAGGCTGAAAGGCATCTGAAGGAGTGCTGGCCGCGGGTAGAAGCGTCACGACCGCGGGTGAGGAGGGTTTTGCCGCGGTCAGGATGCTTACGACCGCGGCTGAAAGCTTGTTGGCCGCGGTCACGAGCGTTCCGACCGCGGGAATGGGGCTCCGACTTGTTTCCTCCGTTTTGTCTGCTCCTTTGCCATCTGAACTGATTTCTGCACCTTCTAACTCTGTCTCCTCCTCTTTTAGGCTAAGATCTTCGATGAGAAGCGTCGAACCATTCGTTTCACGTCCTTGCATAAGCTTTTTGACCTTCTCTTCGATTTCATCGAGGGTATAGACTACTTTGTCCACGGTTGAGTCTATTGCCTCTGCTTTCTCTTGAACCTTGTGTACTCCATCCCAAATCTCTTCCATGTAAGAATAGGTTTGGTTGTTATGGTAGTTAATAGTCTCTTCTGCTTCACCAAGTTTGATCTCTAAGGTGCGGATGCTCCAACCGGCCTTGCGAATGCGAACTTCGACTGCTCCAACTTGTTCTTTGATTGCTTCCATCCTCTCCTGGACGGTTTCAACACCTTCGTCTAGTTGGCTTTCGATGGTCTTGACTTGAGCTGAAAGATCTTCAAGCTTTCTGTTAAAGCGCATTGACAAGTCATCAATTTTCTCGTCGACTGTGGATCTTGCTTGAACGTCGAGTAAGTGCGAGACTGTCAATTCTAGTAGTTCCAATCGGTGAATAGGTTGGACGTTTTCATTCTTGTGAGGCAAACGACGAGCAGGTTGTTCAGGGTTGGCCATTTGAGGTGCGTAGGGTTCCTTCTGGGACGTTCTGTGGTCTTCGCTTGAGTTTTTTCGTAGAGATCGCGTAGATGCTTCTCTCTGCGTCTAGTGGCTTGAGGAGTGTTATAGAAACCTTCCTAATTTTGTATATTTCGATTTATAGGATCCATATCTTCTGAAATGGAAACAAAATAACCGAAAAAAGGAAAGTTGCATAAAAAGAGGTTCTAGAGTCGATTTACGAACCTTTCTCGGGGTTTTGCAGAAAAGAAAACGTGTGCCTTCCCCGGCAACGGCGCCAAAAACTTGATGTGGTGTTGTGGTGAGGGTGTCAAGTTTTACCCTAATTGAAATCAATAGCCGCAAGTGCACAGCTGATCGATTGTAGTACTTAGGGATCGAATCCCCAGGGAAGGAGGATCTTTTCCTGCAAAAAGCCTTTGAAATAAGTTAAAGTAAGGAAGTCTAGAACAAAAACGGTTTTGTGGGGGTTTGGTAGTGTGTTTAAAATGTAAAAACGAAATCTTAAAAGAGAATACGGGAATTAAATGACGTAATAACTAAACTAAATGAAAATGACTAAAAATGATAAAAACGGATATTCTAATGCTTAAATGAAAATGAACTAAAAAGGAAAGACAATATTGAACTAAAGCTTTAAATAAAAACGGTGTAAATCAATAAGGAAGAAGGCATTGGGCTTCAGGGAAGTTTTCTCAGGGGTACGAACGATTCAAAACATTGCTAGAGAGGAAATTTGATAAGATCTTAGCTTAAACTTTTCGAACTGGAGTCACGGACGTATGAATACGCCACTGTTGTGATCATAGACAACTATCTCTCTCAACCCTGACCAGTAGGTTTCCACTCTGGCCCTGGAAGAGAAAAGATGCATTATGTTTAAGACTCCTCCTAATTCACAAATCGCCCATAGGTAGGTTTCCACTCCTATGTTTGTTTTGCTCTCCCAAACTAGATCTGATACCTGATGAACACTTTTGTGTCACCAAGCATCTGGATCAGATTGTAGTTCATGACGCTACTCTCATGCAGTAAAAACGAATTCAGAAGAAAAAGTTCTAAGATTAGGCTCAAAAGCTCATGGAATCCTCATCGAACATATAAATCCCCATCGAAAATCCCTTAATCTCAACAATAAAACTACTCAGACATGATGAACGAAAGCAAAGACATAGTATTAAGAAGTAGAATAGAAACCGAAATTGAAAAAGAAAAAACAAGGGTTCAAGAGAACAAATCTCTCTCTCCCTAAAAGCTAAAGCAAAAACAATAAAAGTATGAAGTAAATATTTCGGTGGTGATAGGTTACACGATTTAGGGTTCCTAAGACATGTATTTATAGTGCTCAAGACCTCTCTGGACGTCACTTAGGGTTTCTCCAAATGTGGGCTTCAGAAATGGGCTTTTTAGGCTTGGAGGTTGATGGCCGCGGTCGGGACAAGTGTGACCGCGGTGAATGAGTGGTTTGTCGCGGTCAGGATGCTCCTGACCGCGGGAAATTGCTTGTAGGCCGCGGGTGGAAGTGCTTGTCGGCTGGTTTACGAGACATCTTGCTCTTCGCGTATCTTTTGATTGAACCGTTGGATTGCCAAGCTGTAAAGTTCACTGGAAAACTGATACTTCCATCTTTAAGGTCTCCAAATTTGAGCTGGATCAGACGGTGAGAAGGCCTTCAATCAGGGGTGAACTTCTGACGGTTTGACTCTGAGCTGAAATCTGGTTTTCTATCCATTTTGTTAAGCTTTTCCCTAAGTTACCTGAAAAGAGTCTTGGAACTAAAAATACTAGAAAAATGTTATAAAAGTACTTAAAAGCAATTAAAAACATAGAAAAAGTATTTCAAAACGATCCATAAAAGTGGTCAAAATACGGTGTTATCAAAAAACAGAGTATCATGTTCTGTATTTGCATTGACAAGTTGCTAAATAATGTCGTCCCAGGAGATTGTAAATCTTCTTTGCATCAGTTCCTTAGTTAATTTGGTCCATACTTCCTCCGAGTAAGAACATGAGAAGAAGAGATGGTTCTGGCATTCCATAGCTGAACTGCAGAGAATACAGACAGAGCTTGCTCCTGCGTTCCACACCTGCATGCGATCACCTGTCGATAGCCGAATCTGAATCGCCAACCAAGAGAAAATCGTGAATTTAGGGGTGGAATGTTTAAACCATATGCCTGAGTGCCAAAAGTGCTGAGCAGATTCACGTCGAATAAGCTGCCAAGTGCATTTTGATGAGAAACTATCCCTGAATAAACCATTCTTCCTCTTCCAAAGGGCAATGTCTGAAGAGCCGTGCTGCAAATGCGATATACGAACAGACAACACTTGCTCGATTTCATTCAAAACGTCATTCCTGTGACGTCGCCTTCGTCGACGAACTAGAGAAGCAATGGTGGCATTCAGAAGAATACCCATATCTATCACTCCTCCTGGCCCTGTTAAATCAAATAGCCTCCCCATCTCAGACCAAACGTCATACCAGAAAAACGTTCCCTCTCCACTCTGAATGTCCATCTTATGAGACGTACACGCAAGTGATTGATATTTGAGGATTTTCCTCCACATCCATGAGCCAGCCTTCGTATCAGATTCTACAGACCATAGAGTACCTTGTCGAATAAGATAAGTTTGAATCCATTTCACCCATAAGGAAGGATAAGCTGAGATGATTCTCCAAATCAGTTTCAAACAGTATTGACATCTTTAAGTCACCTAAGCCCCAACCCTCCTTCAGCTATTGGTTGACATATATCCTCCTAAGCCATCTTTGCTTTCCTTGGATTCAGCTCTGGAATAGACCAAAGAAAAGCTGAACATATTCGATCAATCTCGCGTATACACTCACTCGGGAGTCTGAAAGCTGCGAGCCAAAAATTAACTATACTATGCAAAACTGAACGCACCAGTTGCAGACGACCCGCAATCGATAGAGCAAGCGCTGTCCACGAGCCGATTCTACTGCAAATATTTTCCAAAAGCGGCTGATAATCGGATCTAGTCATTTGCTTTGAGAGCAAAAGTAATCCCAAATATCAAACAGGTAGCTCACCAGGTTGGAAATGAAACTTGTTACTTATATCAGCGCGAACTACCTCAGTCACTCTTGTAAGATAAATTGTCGACTTCTCCATGCTAATTCTAAGACCAGACATCTTCCCAAACTCCTCAAACACCTTAAGAATACCCTCCACCGATCTAACTTTCCCATCTGTGAGTACCATGATGTCGTCCGCAAAGCTTAGATGAGTAAGACCTATATTCTAACACTTCGGATGGTAGCTAGTACAGTGATTGGCAGCTGCTTTATCCAACATTTTTGAGAGAAAATTCATACTGATCACAAATAGATATGGGGATAACGAGCAGCCTTGTCATAACCCTCAATTACTGCAAAAAAACCCAGCCAACTCTCCATTCACCTGAACCGAGAAAGACGGAGTGGTGATACAAAGCGAGATCCAATGGATAAAAACATCAGGGAAATTCATGGCTCTTAGAGCATTGAGAATAAACGGCCATTGAACCTAGTCGAAAGCCTTCGAGATATCAATCTTAATGGCGGATCGAGCTGAGATCGTATCCTTATGATAATCTTTGACTAGTTCTGTAGCTAGAAGAAGATTTTCAATGAGAAGACGAACCTGAATAACAGCAGATTGATTCATTGAAATAAACTTTTGGAGTATTCTCTTCAGTCTATTTGCAATAATCTTCGATATAACCTTATAGATGACATTACAGCAGGAAATTGGGCGATAGTCCTTCATTTCCACTGCAGAAGTTTTCTTTGGGATCAAGTCTAAAGTATTAGAATCTATTCCTTTCGGAAGAAACCCTTTCTCGAAGAATGATTGTAATGCAATGATGAATTTTTTGCCAACAATTGGCCACAATGCCTTATAAAACCCCTGCAGTATACCCATCTGGACCTGAAGACTTATTACTAGGCATAACGAACAAGACTCTTGTAATTTCTTCTTCAGAGACTGAACACACTAATGAGATTCTCTCATCATCTGTGCATCGGCACCCAGAAGATCCCCCAATCCCTCAATTGTTACTCCTTCAAAATCGGTTGGAATATGCTGCAGAAAATCTCGGAAATATCCCTCTGCTTCAGCTTTGATTTCATCATTCGTTGTAACCACAACCCCATTCCGACATTTTATTTCCCTGATTGAGTTCTGTGCTGTGCAAGTCACTACATCCTTTATGAAAAGTTCTATTGTTTCCATCACCAACTTTAAGCTAATGGATCTTGGACCTCTGTTTAAGAAAGCTCTCCTCCAGCCTTGATATAAAGTCCCACCGTTGATATGCAGTCTTCTCCTCTTCGATGAGTTCCACCGATGGAGATACAGCATTAGCTTCCTGCTTCTTACATAATGTTGTGAATGCTTTTTTCGTCTTCTTCGTCAAATTCCCCATTCTATTCTTTACCAGAGAGCGAATTAAGGGTTTGAGAGCCTTAAGCTTTTTTGAGAATCTAAACATTGAGGATGTGGATAGAAAAATAGGCTGAGTATTATTCCAGAACTCCTCCACCATCGGTTTAAACTCAACTAGCTCCACTATTGCATTCACAAATTTGAAAGTTTGCTTTCCTTCAGACTGAACCGTATCTAAGTGCACACGGCATTTCAGGTGATCAGAACAACCACCAGCTTCAAAAACACTATATGATTGAGGATAACCCTGAGTCCAGCTCGTATTCTTGAGAACCCTGTCTAACTTCTTTGATACCAAACCCTCATCTCTTTTATTACACCAAGTTAAAACTGGACCATGAAAGCCAAGTCTTCCAACTGACAGTCTCGAACCACACTCTGAAAGTCCCTCATACCCGCCGAGAGAGAAGGAGAGTGATCATAACCTAAGTGCTCCTCCATCTCAAGAATCTCATTATAATCGCCCAAACATATCCATGGCTTTGAACGAATTATGGAAGAGTTATGATGAGCCCTGATATCATTCCATAACTCTCGCCTTTCTTCCATAAAATTTGAAGTGTAAAGGAATGAGCAGAAAAACTCCTCATCTCTGTCGTCCAGCTTCACAGACACTGTGATCATCTGACCACTCGTAAAGAATATAGTGGCCCTCACTCTGGGACTCCAAACCACCCAGATGCGACCAAGACGATTAAATTTGTAATTTGAGATTAGAGACCAATCTCGAACAATCGATGTAACAATCCTCTCTGCTTGACCTTCCTGAACTCTTGTTTCCAATAACCCCCCAAACTGAAAATCGTTATTCTGAATCCAGTTTCTGATGACAGAATGTTTAGTTGATTTGTTAAACCCGCGAACATTCCATACGAATCCTCACATATGATTAATTTTGAGCCTTTGGTCCCCTTCTGCTCGAAGTACTAGATTTTAAATCTCTAGCACTCAAAGCGATCAAGTCACCCAAAGGTTTATTATTGGCTTTAGAAGGGCAAGGCAGAGGAGGTCTGATTGGACCCTCTTGCTTCTCCTTTTGTTTCTTGGACACTTGTTTCTGATTCAAGGTTTCCTCACGTTCATCCAAGGTAGCGTTTCTTTCTCAGGTTTGTCAATACCCATATCAAAATCATCATTTTCGATATCTTCATCTCCTGTGTCTGAAGCTGCAAGAATGAGAAAGCGCAAAGATGACACTGAGATATTTTCATCTCGACCACTAGATTTTTCACCACTTTTGCCAACTCGTTTCGGAGAGACCCTCTCTCCTTCTTCAATGTCATTAATTTCCTTCTGAGCTGGGACTTCAGGTGTGGAAACTATCTCTTCCGAAGCTCTTTGCTCAATAAGTTTCTCAGGATTGTCAGCCTGAGCGGATTGAGCCGTCATAGAATTTGCAACAACCAAAGAATTCACCTCTCCTCCAGACTTCTCTGTTGGCAAAGACGGCGGTGTAATATCCACGTTTCGCTTAAGAATCCCCTTCCGACCACCATGTAGCATACAATCTGACAACACATGTCCCCATATTTTACAATGATTACATCACGGAAGAAGCCATGGATATTCAAATTCCACAAAAAGAGTCAATCCCCTTCTCAGAAGTGAATCGATACTCTGTAGGCAACTCCTTTGTTAGATCAGCTTTGACGAAAACCTTCGCCTCATCAAAAGTTTTACATATCTCTGTATCCGGATGAAGCCTTGTTGGCTTACCCTCTGCACTAGCCAGAAAACTCAATCCTCTGTCATGAAACATATTATGCGGAACATTCTTTAGAGTGATCCACAACGGCATAGTTTTAATTGCTGGTTGAGCTTCCTCTGCAACTGGAGAACATTTGGACACGATCATGGGAACATTTGCAATGTTCCACATACCTCGACGAATGACTCTGTTGCGCACTGATTCGTCCCTTATCTTAAACTTCATTGTACGCTGATCAACCATAAAGATATCAACCTTTGCGTTCTTATTCCCCACTGGCCAAATTTTGTTTACAATCACATGGACTTTCGCCACATGTGGAGCAGGAGCTAGAAATTTTCCAAATAGGATCTCATCCCACAAGGGAACTGAACCTTCCAAAACGTCATCAGTAATTTCCACAGAAGGAGCACCCTCAACGATCGAAACTGCTAGGTCGTATTTCAACAAACCCGATGTTATTCTGAACAATAGATGAGTACAGTTCCTTCGAAGGAAGATTTGAGATCGATGGATTCAAACCCTCCACGCCCTTCGAAGCGTCCACTCCCGAAACCTCTCCATCGCTACCTAACTGCTGGTCACAAAGAACCGGAGTCTCCATTCCGAGGATTCGCCGGAGCAGGAGGCAGAGAGCCCCCCGATGCCGCCATCCTTGCGGCCGAAGGAAGTGAAACGATGAAACCCTAGTCGCCTTTGAATTCGCCTTGCCACGTCACAACTAACAAAAATCCTGACTTTTATTCTAGTTAGATTCGTCCTAATTCTCAACACCACTCTGGGTAATTCTGTTCGGTTAGGGTAAATTTTTTCCGGTAAGGTTAATTATTTTTTGGGTCTAGGTAAGTTTACCCGGTTAAGAGATAATTTTCTTGGTTAGGAGAAGTTATTTTTGGTTCAATTTTGGTTGAAATTTTGGTAAGGTTAATTTATTCGGTTTAGCAGACTTCAATATTGTAGCCTACTAAGTTTAAACCCTAAATAATAGATTTTTTTCTTCCTAATTTAAAAACATAAATATAAATTTATCAATACGAAAAAATAATTTATATACATGTGAGTTATAATTACCTAATTTATGAATACAATTTTGATACAAAATAATTTTTTTCTAATTTTAAAATTAAATTTTCTGATTTAATTACATAGTATATACTTTGTAAGAAGTCTCCTATTAGATTAGGAAGGATAGAATGAGACTCGGCAAGGAACGGAGTCAGGATAGACGCGTGCATTGATCAGTTGGAATTCATAACACAGATCAAAGGCGTGTTGAATCAAGCACGTGACTACGGTAAGTACACTACTCTGGGAACAAATAGCTAGTGACATACATATTACTGGACGTTTAGGTCTAGGGAATAGAATGCATAGGATGTATGATTTGAACCGAGTCTAAGATTATTCTATAAACCGACAAGAAGTCAAAGAGGGCTGTCTGAAGGTAGATGATAATCGGACCGGCAAGTGATAGATCGGAGTTAGAGAGGGGAAAAGAAAAGTTTAAGTAGAAAGAAAATTCCGCTGTGCAATATTAGAAACGTTAAATAGCTAAGTAAAGTCATAGGGAATAGTTGAGGAAATCGCTTGAAGAAGTGATGAAATAAGAAAAAGGTAGAAAATGTTGAGGTTCATCTAGGAGATGGCCTGAACATGGAACGCGTCGTCCGCGGCCTTAGAACGGCCGGGACGGGGTGTTTCACTTGTAACGTCCGCGTCCCGCGAACTTACAATGGGCTGACTACGTTTTACGGGAAAGAAGCGACTTGGAACAGAATAAAGATAGACGGAAGGAGCTCAATAAACGGTGTGAAGCTTAAACGAGCTGGACAGCTGAGCTAAGCTAGCTGGATCAGCTGTCGGGAAGCTCGGCTCAGCTGGATTAAGAGTAAGACAGTTGGTCTAGCTGAGTGGCAAGTGAACTAGCTGGACTGGGGTGGTTATGGGCGGTTATGGCCGAAGGGTTGCAAAGCCTATGCGCCCAATCAATGCATTCGTTCGGCCAACAACTCACGCCTGTTCGTCCAAAGCGGTTACAACAAGGGAAATCTATAAATAGACCCTT